CACTATTTATATCACAATTACTAAACAATATTACTACAACGATAACTACTATTGTTATTATCATTTCTTCTATTACTACCGGTCAAAAAAACTTAAAAATTAGTCATGAATTTTAGCCAAGTTAAGTCCAATTTATTTTTGCATCGTCCCGAAAACATTTTTGCAATGATTTTGATTGAATTTCCAAAAAACTAACTAAATTTCTAACCATACCTTCTGTCTCCTCCACTTCTTCCCCTTCCACTTATTCTATACAAATTTCATGCCTTTCGAACTAGTTTTATACTCAGATAATTTTACTGCTTTCTCTCTCAAAGCATTAAAATCCCTCCAAAATAAGTCAGCACTGTTATGCCTGTTCGAATTCGGCTCATGCCTTATCTTCCTGATCGAAATGGCTCAACACTGTGTTGACACAGGGGGCACTTTACATTTTTCCGTCTAATCAATCACCGATTTCGGAAGATGTCAAAGAAAACTCGTTTGCAAAGTAAAAAAAAAAAAATCGCTTTTCAAAACAATGCAGGGGAACACCGTCCAAATTTGTATTCTGAATGCTTGGCAATATAGTAAAATCAAAAAATTCATAGTTAAGTGTATTTCTTAATGTTATTTTTGTAAAATTAACGGTCTTTTTGATAATGCATATATATATATATGTATATGCACATGTATATATATATATATATATATATATATATATATGCAATTAACGGCCTTAGTTTAATTTTTCTTTTGATATGCATACATATAAGGCCACCGATGCACTGGCCCGATCTGCCAAGTCGATTAGATGGAGTATTGTGGATGAGGCGAGCTCAGGATAGAACTCGATAGCGTGACTGTCGGCTCAGTCACTGAAGAAGATCAACAGCGCCTCAGTGATGGAAACGCCGTATCAAAGACCAAGAAAGAATGCATACATAATATTTTAAATTCTTTAATTCTCTTTAACTTTCTCCTACTAATTTCTGTCCCAACTTTAGTTCTGTTTCTTGTCCACCCGTATTTTGAAATAATTTCAAGGAAACATATGATTATTAAGCTCAGACAAACAAGCCGATATTTGCAAAAAAAATATTTAAAAAGTAAAGTGCAGAGAAGGCTTAAAGAATATATAAAACTACTGCAAGCAATAAGCATTTGTTGCTTAAAAGCCCAAAACTTAGAAAAAAACAAACAAACCTAATTCTTTCATGGACAACCTCTTGGTCATTTTGAACAAGCTCCACAACACGTTCCTCATTCGTTTTCATCTTCTCCTGTTCTCGGGTCTTTTGTTGATTCAAGCTTTGCTGCTGTTGTTGCTGCTGCTCAATACTCAAAATATCTCGAGGCTTCTTTGAGCTTGACCTTAAAAAAAAACCCAGTATGGCTTCACATTTTTTACATTTCACCAC